AATGGGGTGCAACTAGGTGAATTAGTCACTATCTGTTTGGAGAATACTCACGTATTTTTGCACACCCACATCATACGTGACCTGCCTGGAGAATCGACGCATCGTAGGCCCCATTCGTGAGTTAATTTCTAGTCACTCCCTCATGCGGCGTGTTCATCCTAAAGCAGACACAGTAATGAAACAGCAAGAGTCGAAGGAAAGCGTTTTCTTGTGCGAGTCTTTCTCCCTAAAGAAGCAACCGCTTTGAACAAAACCTCCTTTGGCCGGATCAGGGGATATATACGTTTGATCATTTATATATACATATATATATATATATATATATATATCATTAAACTTAATGAAACTGAACCAACCAGAGTAAGTCACATGTGGAGCTGGGAAAATTTGCATGTTAGTTAGGGGGGAACTACTCGTCCGGGTACTGAAGGACATTATGCGAGATTTGATGAACTTGATCAGCTACAATAAAAACCAAATAATGTTCGCTGTTCGGCTTCATTAACTCAAGAAATAGGTTGTAAAAACACGTTAATATGCGAATTAGGTGAAATTAGAAACACCCTGTAAAATAAAGACTATCCGGGTCAATCTCACGAAACATGCCGAACAGAACCGGATAAATGTTACCGAAACGTAGAGATCAAACTTTTCCTGTTTCCTTCTTTCAAGGGTGACTCGACGATGGATGCGTTAACTAGGATTCTTTCTGCACCAGTAAGATCTACGTTCAGCGCGGCTAAACTTCGACTTCTCTCAAATTCATCCCTTCTACGCCTGCAACATAAAGACACTGTCAGTGATGACCTCTTCGGTGGTTGCTGTTGGATTCAAGCACGCAGGGGTAGGCACAAACGAAAATTTTTTGCATGAAAGGTACCGCACCATCACTCGGCCTGAACACCTCAAGTACGAGTAGCGAACCTTCCGGTAACGAATAAGAGCGTGAAAAGAGTGCCAGGACGATCAGTCCACCTGGTCAACTAGTTGTTCGCCATGGGAAACCGTCACATTGTTCAGCTATCTACACTTGAAGCGGAGGATAGTGGCACTTCCGCTATGAGCGTAGCTTCCGTGTATCAACGGTCCGGAATAACCATACCAGGATTATTCAGTTTTCAATAAAAACACGATATAATGTGTTGGATCCCAAGAGCCACTCCAGTCTGGTAGTTACTTAACTTCTGGAGCTTTGCCCAGGTTCGTCATCTGTTATCAAACGGCATAAGAATAAAACAGCAGGCTATCGGGTAGCTTATGTGAGGTTTTACAAGAATTCACCGTCTCTAAATCATTAGTGTGTGATGACTCTCCATAGGAAATGTTGCCGATGTTGCTCTTTGAAAGAAAAATGGCCAAATCAGAACGGTTATTGTATTATACCCTGATTAGCATTCGATGAACCTTGAGTTACTGAAGATAGAGATAAGTTATCTGACCACTAAGCTATTGTTTGATTCTAACAGCACGCTGCTTCCGCACGAGGTAGTTAGATGCTAAGAACGCTAATTTTCTATCCAAAAATTCAATGACTTCGTTAGTAATCCATACGGACGATACACCAAGGGACCAAAACCATTACTGCGGCAGGAAATAAAAGAAGCTGCAACTGAGAAAACTATTAAGTGTATGAAGCAAACAAACACGGGGTACAATAGAGTGATACAGGGAATCACAGATTCGGCCACAATAAACTACACATTAAATAGCTCCTGTTAGAGAGGATTTGACCATTGTGCTCGGCGACTTATTTGGCTGCATAAGTTTTTCTGTCTCCAATGCACATTCTGGAGCGTAGACCCTGCGCACAACAGAAAAGCTGCGCGTTTGAAAGTACAGGTTGCATAGATTGAAAAGGCCCATCACTGCCAGCCCGACCAGTTTGTACCATTCGTAGACCCATTTGAGGCTGATCAGTTGATACAGCGGAATCGCCAGAGCCAAATAAAAAAGCAACGAGCTGATTCGCTGTGGGTGGTAAAAGAGTGACTGAAGGGAGAAAAAAATAACAGGAAATCGGTAGACTTGAGGTTTGTAACAAATCGAATTTGTCAGCTGAGGACAGGGCATTCCGATATTTATTGTTCATCATTATTACTTATCATCACTATTACTGCAGTTATGACGTATTATCACTATTGTTATTATTTGTACTATTATTTGTCCTGCACTATTGAAAAGTACAAAACAGGAATGCGAGGTTAGGTGGACAATTGAAACACCAGCGCGGTTTGTGTAACACTTGCAGAGAAATCTCAAAAAGTATTCTAAAGAAAAACGTAGATTCCTTGTCGAATTAGAAAATTCCGAATGACGCACGATTTGCCAAACAGTTTGTAACGCCTAGTCAATTTCGGTGCGCATCCTGGAATAACCCAGGGATGGTTCCGATCAACTAGTGTGACCATGTGACCAATACGCTGGCCAAAGGTATTGACTACGACATACAAGTACCAGGTCTCCGTAAGAAGGGTTATTGCAAACCTAAGTATACTGGTTCCCATGCCCTATAGGAACCGCTCTGGAATCTCTAAGCTTTACACACTGCAGGTGTAGTTTTTTCTCCGCCGGAGAAGCACTTTCCGTTGACCCATAATGCAGCAGACGGAAAATCGATGAACGTGTGGAAGCACCAACGGTACCACCATTTTCTATGGTGAAAGCACATACGCCTGAAGTCTCTTCAAATTAACCTCAAAGAGGCATCAAATTCGAAGAAAACAANTGCAGGTGTATTTTTTCTCCGCCGGAGAAGCACTTTCCGTTGACCCATAATGCAGCAGACGGAAAATCGATGAACGTGTGGAAGCACCAACGGTACCACCATTTTCTATGGTGAAAGCACATACGCCTGAAGTCTCTTCAAATTAACCTCAAAGAGGCATCAAATTCGAAGAAAACAAACTCTAAATGTGTGAACACCGTGCCCTTGATCGTCTACTTAAAAACTGTTTGACGGGCTTTTTGCACCAAGCCTACACTCAACTTCCTTTTCGCTTTCTAATATCTCGCCCTTTTCTCATCCTTACATGGCAAATAAGCGTCTGTATTTTCATCAGTGGAGTACCCCGTCGATAACGTGATGATAATGCGGAAAGGCTGAACTCACGGGCCATTTCGAATTAGATGGGTGGAGAGATACCGAGCATGTCAATAATGCCAACAGATTGGTCATAAACTGATCTTGGTTCCAATGACAGGAACAACTGGATTTTTCTTATTTTTTTTATGTATTATACTTGTTCGCTGATTTTTGTACATAGTGGATATTCAAACATGGTGACAAAAATCCAACCATTGAAATCAGGCTATGTAGTCCAACAGCATGCACCAGTTCGAGAGAGGTTACGACCGACTATAGGGGGTGTGATAGCTGACCAATAAATCAAATTTGGTATATCAGGAGACCTATGCTTGATATCGCGGACTTCAGTTGCGTAATGCAGAGATAAAATACATCAAACTGGGATGAGACATTGGATGGCGAACAACAGCAGAAAAACGGAAAAGGTTCGCTTTTTGCGACTACAGTATTTCACCATACTGATATTTCATATCAGTGTACTTCTTGGAAAAAGTAACTATTCGTTTCAACAGCCACTAGGATACCACACAAAACTAGGGAATTAGCCAATCTCCGTACTCACATAGGCCCATAAAAGAGATCACCAAGGCGAGCTACAAGATAGCATCAACGAAAAGTAGGGTAAGCAAATTATGTTTCAACTAACCGAAGGCGTGTTACGCAAAAGTAGACTCGGGTCACAAAACTGAATACGGAAATAGCCCATCAAGTCATATTTTGTTTGTACGGGGTCTTCAAATAAGCAAATGATAGGTCTATTCCCTAAGCAAGTAATGAACCTCCGCATTGAGTGTATGGACACGAAAAAAGGTGAGGAACACGGTGACTGTTTCCTTGGCGCCCTGATCGACGTCGGTCTGTCCCGTCCCGTTTCACAATTAACAGACATACAAATAGAGGAAGGTATCAATCGACCGGGAGCAACCAGAGGGCAAGTGACACGCATCCACAAATTGTATTCATCGATTTCCACAGATGGGACGAAATAGGGGACTGCGTGGAACTTCAACGGAGACGACTAACAAGTATAAGTGTATGGGGATTGAGTAAGGACTACTCAGTGGACTTTAACTGGGTTAAAATACACAGTCCACAATCGCCCTTCTAAGCCGTGCACACAAACATGTACACGAGCAGCTTGCATGCCTGCGCACTCCACGGGCGTCAGCAACTGGTAGGGGTTGAATTACCACGTTCTATTGGGGATACACGTTGACAATATTGTATGCATGAATGCGACTGTGAAGTGTGGTGGTGAGGTGATGCAGGATGAGAATGACAGAGATATTGGAGAGGGTGCAACTACAACGCAGGTCCACCGATGTGTTCCCTTTTCATTTCATAGGACGGGAAACATACACACAAATAAGGTTACGGTACACCTGCAAAGCCGATAAGACCGTTGCGATTGTGTCCGGAGCTGGAAAGTGTCAGTCAATTTAAGTAGACTGAGGAAGGTCAATCAATTGAACGAAACTTCATTGGCAAGCAATGCGACCGGAATACATCCCGAAATGTATGATTGCCGGAGGTCTAAGGGGACCGATGTCTGGATTAAAGTTATAGTTTGTCGTATTTTTCCGTTGCTATCCAAAGGTACAGTCAGTTTCCACAAAAAACTATGGTATATTTGCTATCAGACAGAAAAGACAAATGACTGACAGCTAGTATGCCGTATTGAACGTCTGTCTGGTTAGCAATGTCACCTGGTTCGGAGAACTGGACGAAAACGGTAAGCCTAACCAAATCCATTGTAGCGTGAAAAGTAGTCGTTTAGCAAACAACACAGTGATATACAAATACGATTAAGTGAAACTTATGAGGCCGCAAAGAACATTCCATTGATTCTAAAGAAAAAGGTCATGGGAAGGCGTGGAAGTGTAGGTTACAACTCGTACTCAATAGACTGATGACTAGTATGCGCACTGCGTATGGAGACGATGTTCTGTTGTCCTGTGCAGAACTTGTCCATGAAGTTAGAGAGGAACCACAGTGCTGATCTTAAACATAAGCCAGCAAGGTTCGACCTACTGCAGTCCGAAGTGACTTCTCCTGGTCACGTGATATCAAGGGATGAAATGAAGAATGACTCGGATAAAGTGATTAAAGTGCGTAATAGCCACCGCTATATAGTCTTGATGGGTTGCTTCTTGGGCGTCGGTCCTTACTATTGTGTATCCCCACATACAAGTCCCCCGACAGTCTCCCGTTGACTGCCGATTTTAACTGGGTACAGCGATCCGATGAAACATTTCGCCACCGAAGGAGTGCTTTGCGCTTCTCACAGGTCGGAACTATTCCTGAGGTATCCAACAATACAAGTTGTGCTTTGACACTGATGGGCTAACCTATTAACTCATTCTTATCCCGGAAGCAAGTGTATGGGAGCAGGTGACTGGGTGTGGAATAAAACTGACCTAAACTACCAACTTCGAAGAATAAGGGAACTCCAGAATTGCGAGGATTGAAAATGTACAGAAAGCCAGAGGAACTCAATGGAAAAGCGTAGGAACCCGGGAGCATCGGATAAATTAATCCCGCTATAATATAAGCTCATTCACTAGGGTAACGGACCAAAGTAAACAACAATGACAAGCTACTAATAATCCAAAGTAGGCCATGATGGAGAGAAGCTGAAAGGCGCAGTTAGCTAATCCAACTCGAGAAAATCGCACCGAAAAGCGATACAGGTTGGGCGATGACCAATCAAAATACAGAAAGAAAACTACTGGAAATAGGAGCCAGAATTCGCGAAGTACACCCAATGCATACCAATTCGGTCTAAACAGGAAACTCAACTGAATCCTTCGTTTATGGTATTCTTCAACTAAATGTGATGCATAGAAGCTGATCTGAGTTTCAGTTGATACGATATTCGAGATATCGCAGTAAATTTCCATGCGAGGGGATACTCATTAAGCTACTGCAACCCCTTCGACAGTCCACGACCAGCTTCGCCCTTCTAAGGGTACATCAGGTAGGCGCAGTTCCCGAGTTTCTGTCAACGTTGTTCTACCTGAACCCGAATCGTAAGAAATTCTAGGAACAAACACGCCTCCAAACAAATCTGATTTTAGTCCCATCTGATTCTCTCTCGCTCATGAACATCCAAACAACTTTAAAGACGAACCACGACCAAAATGAGTCATAAAAAGACCAGCAAAAACACGCAACCTGTCCTTATTATTAGCTATTTAAAAATGGTATAAGCTCAAAGAGGACCACACCCTGACGATTTCCCTAAATGTTGACGAGACGTTACCAAATGAACTGTTAAGCTAGGCGAACAATCACCTAGTCAAGAACAAACTGGAGGGACTTACTCAATATTGTTTATTATTCGTATTATTTATACGCGATTAGGATTTCCACCGTAGATGAGCCAACATATTAAACAACCAACGTATAAATGAGTGGTTCATTCAAGAAATAACTCCGGGACCTAGATGACTTATTGTATACCAGGCTGGAAGGTTCTAATGACATTCACAAAAGCACCAAGTTGACCTGATCTGAGTGCAGTTGATACGATATTCGAGATATCGCAGTAAATTTCCATGCGAGGGGATACTCATTAAGCTACTGCAACCCCTTCGACAGTCCACGACCAGCTTCGCCCTTCTAAGGGTACATCAGGTAGGCGCAGTTCCCGAGTTTCTGTCAACGTTGTTCTACCTGAACCCGAATCGTAAGAAATTCTAGGAACAAACACGCCTCCAAACAAATCTGATTTTAGTCCCATCTGATTCTCTCTCGCTCATGAACATCCAAACAACTTTAAAGACGAACCACGACCAAAATGAGTCATAAAAAGACCAGCAAAAACACGCAACCTGTCCTTATTATTAGCTATTTAAAAATGGTATAAGCTCAAAGAGGACCACACCCTGACGATTTCCCTAAATGTTGACGAGACGTTACCAAATGAACTGTTAAGCTAGGCGAACAATCACCTAGTCAAGAACAAACTGGAGGGACTTACTCAATATTGTTTATTATTCGTATTATTTATACGCGATTAGGATTTCCACCGTAGATGAGCCAACATATTAAACAACCAACGTATAAATGAGTGGTTCATTCAAGAAATAACTCCGGGACCTAGATGACTTATTGTATACCAGGCTGGAAGGTTCTAATGACATTCACAAAAGCACCAAGTTGACTGTCTCCCAATTACAAAGTTCACGCTACTCATAACATCCAGAACAGTGATCCGAAACACCTGAATAAGGCTTCAAACCAGGATTCCATATAGGAAGACGAATCCCGTAGCAGAAAAATGAGCATATCAGGTAAGGAACAGGTGACTTCTTAACGGTGCTCAATAAAGCGATACAAAAACGATGGAGGGCAACCTATGTTCCCAGTGAAAAGAGAGTGCATCTACCTAAACACTGTATGAAGGCATCGATACAAAACAAAAGAGATTTTGAAAACCGTACATGAAATCGTGCGTGGGAAGCGTTTCCGGGTTCGGCAGCAGTGTTGACTCCGTATGAACAAAACTGACCACGAACGTGCCGGATTGTAACACCGTCCCGATAGACCTGATGGAAACCGAAACAGGAATACAGAATGAAGGTCGTGCCGACAGCATGACTTAGCGAAGAAGATGGTATAGGTTGACTTGCTCGTATATTACAATGAGGAAGTAGCCACAATCACACACAATATTCCTTGGATATCGGTTATTGTAAAACAGTTACAAAAAATAGGATGGGCAGCTCCAACCTGTGTGATTGTAACACCAAATGACCGACTTTGAGAGCATCATAAACACAGGATACAAAGTAGCTCCTCTGAAGAAAGATAAAAATTCAAATTAGTCACGTGATCTGAACCAACAAAGACACTGACAGGCGAGTGCCTCTAATTAACTCACCGCTACGCACAACTACGCACTGATGATGTCACCTCGATTGGTGATGAAACGTTTGCAACCAAATTGCCCAGCTCAGCGAACAAGCTAACGACCATCTACGCTACCTGAGCTACCGACATTCTCCTCTGTAGAAAATGCTTCTGTCCATCGGTTTGTGTTGGTGTGAAAACTCAGGCGGTCGTCAGAACCGCTTAATTTCCAAAAGGCGAATGCTTTGCTGCCATTCTGGTTATCAAAGACTCTGAGGAAAATACAACAAACATTTTCGCACTGGGAAGTTTACTGTAATTTGTTATTCTCACCATAGAACGACAAAGGGTGCAGCATCTGGTTGCAACGGATTGCAAGTGTGTGCCATAATACAAACCTCAAGAGATGAAAACGGAGCTAAAAACCCTTTCTTTAAAACAAAAAAGCCATGGTTATAAACACAGTTGAAGTGGTTCCTTGTTCTCATACACATCAATTTGTTGAAAATGTAACTAATTAGGAGCAGTCCAGTGGATAGACACAGCTTTTTAAGCTTCTCGTGGGAGAATTGATAGGCAGCAAACAAATGTAACTCAGATTTAAACATGGTAATTATAAGGACAGGATATTGGGGCTAAGTTAATCCGGCAACCATAAAGATTAATTTAAATTCCCCGTGAAGCGCCTTATTACAACGGTCACTTAGGCCCATAGTTTTTCCCGTGTTAAGTGTTAGTAAAGCCCGAAATTGTAGGCGCCTTACTCTTCATCGTCTGTTTTGGAAATATGGGACTTCTTCATATCAAGTTCCAACCGTTACTTATTTTTTCCACTCTTTATTCAGGTGTTCCTCCTTCACGGTTGCACGACAGTTAAGCGTCATATGTATGGCGCGATTCTGCCGCCTAAAGATTACGGATAGAATTTATCTGAAAATATAGGACAACCAATGGGTTGGAGAGTACAGAGCTTATTTACATGGTAAACTGTTGAACAGTACTCCCACAAAACACTGATTAGCAAGAAATAAGAAACTACTATAAGAGCTAACTTGAGAAAAGCATAGCTTAAGATACCCACTCCTATATGAACGAAGTTTTCGTCCAACGGCAGTTTTTCAAGGCCGCACGGCAAACTGACCCCCAAACGTCACGGCCCTCAGCAAAACACAGCTACTTGACCAAAGAATTTCTCGAGAAGCTGGTTCGACCAGCCCCGAAAAGCTACAAGATTCCCTCAAGTGTCCGTCGAGCCCATTCCGTGGCCAGGTGATGTCGCACGCCATGGCATCGGAACAGTACACGCCTGCGGTGACCTAACTTCATGGACTGAAATATCCATACACTTGCTATCGCCATCACGGGGTTTCGCCTGGAACAGCAATACATATCTACGCAACGACCACTCTCATCAACACGACTACGTTATTGTTTACCAGCGAGAATTGTGCATACAATGAGTGATCCAAAAAGGTGAATATGGAACAAACCACCAGCTTGTAGGAACGAAACTTAAAATCCAGCTTCATAAGCCACACTACGCCAAATGCATCAGGGCGCATATAAAAATCGACATAAATCAACACCTCACAGAGCTGAAAATCAGATTGATGTACCAGCATCAGCTTCCCTCCACATTAACTGCCTTCAATCCATTCAGTTCATAGATAGAAGTATGACAAACTGAAATACCAAACAATGGCGGCAGTCAGCTAGATGGGGCAATTGCCCATATGAACATAAGTCAAGAAGCAGTTGCTGAAGGATTCTCGAAATGAAGTGACCCGAAAACTTAACTGCATCAATAAGAAATTAAAATGAACCGCTGCTCGATGGTCACAGAACATTTTATGATTGTCTAGAAGCCATATGTGGACAGGTCAACGAATCAACCCAAACCCTCCGGGATTGGAAAAATATTGGATATATGGCGCAGGTGGTTCAAAAAAAGTGCTGAACTGAAAGTGTCCCTGGAAGTTCCTTCGATCATTGAAGAGATACCGCAGGCGAAAATGCAGCTGCAGAATGTCAGGACAGAAGATATGCTCGCAACAGAACTGTTCAAGTATGGCGGTCCGACTCCGGAGAATGTGCATCCCAAACTGTCCAAAAAGAAAATTCCACCAGAATTCAAGGTTAAATTGTATCAACAAGACTTAGCCCGATAACTACAGAGGCANTCAGCTTCTGAACTGCGCGGACAGACTTCTGGCAAGCGCGCTACTCAACCACCAGAAGGCTCAGATGATCGCTGCACACATCCAATTGAGAAAAATATGATTTCCGTACTGGTCATAGCCATACGGTGGATTCAAGAAAAAATCCACGAACATCGCCAGCCGTCCCATGTCCTCTAACCAGACTTTACGAAAGCCCTCGAATCCCTCAGCCGAGGAGTTGTGGTCAGTTCTCTTCAAATACGACTGCCTGCCAATCTCATTCGGAGTGGATGCGACTTTCGTGAATGACGATGGTGACGTGCGGTGTGAACATCGGTTTCACGGACGTCTGTGCAATATTAGACGTTTTGGTGAGAAAAGTGTAGCCTACCAGATTAAGGTCCGCATTCACATGTTTGCGGATGACTGTGTATTGTTCGTATATGAAGTGCGCATGATGCGCTGCGCAATCCAACAGGAGCATTCAAGTTCGCACACCAACTTGAAGAAGGCTTTCGTTGTGCACCAACCTCAGCCAGGTGGAGTTAAAAAAACTCCTCCGAACATCAAGAGTGAAACAGTTTGTGGACCATCGAGTGGACTTCTGCTACCTAGGAGTCGGACTGTTTGCGATTGTCGACCGTAGGCTAAGATCACGTGTTGCTGGCGCTACTATGTCCCTTGGTTATCTCAACAAACGGATGTGAAAAAAAACCGCAGTCTTGGACTGGAGACCATGCTGCGCGTCAACAAGGTGAGGGTCTCACCTGTCTGCTTATACGGAATGGAAAGCCTGGCAACATCCTTGCGCAACTTCCGAGGTGTGCGCAGCGTTAACGTGTAGTGTCTGACGAAAATACTTGATGTTCACTGGACTGAACAAGTGTCGGATATGGAGGTTCTTAGACAAGGGCATTGTGGTGGAATGGAAGTCACGATTGTACTAAGTCGTCTACAGTGCTTGGGATGTGCCAACAAAATGGACGGAAACAATATTCTGAAGCACTACTGGGTGATCAACTAAATACGAACCAAAAGGAGCCTAAAATACAGGTAATAATTTCTGGACACCGTCTGAAAAAGACCGGCACTAATAATCTGGACATTCCGAATAGTCAGGTCTGTTATGATACCAGAGGGGAATTTCTGGGATCATTGTTCTACAGATCTAGATGAGTGATGGCGGGCACTAGCCAACCAGATGTGCGCGCTTGGGATCCGTGTGCTGCGGCATGCCAGATGACTTTTTGCATGCACTGTTGGGGCGAGATGGCTCAAGTGGTCAGAGCGCGAATTTACTGACCAGAAGGCCCGTGGTTCGAACCCGACCTCTGCCTCTCGACTTCCCCTGTCTAGGCTTGGGCAACCTGGCAGTATCCCAGCCCCCGTGCTTGCTTCGGGTAGCATGGCAGCGAGACACTGGAAGGGTTACAGCTGAACAATTTTTTGTAGGGATCGACTGTTCAGTCGTACCTACCTGAATAGACCAATAGGGCCAATAGTTAGGCATGCTGATGACTTTAGAACTGTCCCCTCTCGGGTCTTATTCCCTCGGGGTTACACTGGGCACAAGGTGTTCAGGCGGCCACACATACAGCTCAGCGCGAGCCGCACGTGGCACTACGGATTGTGTGCACGTGTCCCCTGAAGAAACGGACCAGTCTGGGAACTGATGCAAGTCCACCAAACTTAGCTCTAGCAGGTGCCACTCTGCCAAAAAACTTCCATCTTTGTAATCTGTACGGTTCTCACTCAAGCAATGGAAACGGGTAGGGAGATGCTGCCCACTAACCAGCAAACGCTAATCAAATAACTTTTATTTTAGCACCGGTTGTGGAAATACGTTTGTATGGATTAATCGGGAATATGGGTAGGCATTCAAGCCCCTCTAAACAACACAACCGGTAGCAGGCTCAAATAGACTACTCAAATTAGTCCTGGAGCTGAGTGAATATACAGGAACAGCCTCCGTCGTTGCCAAGGCTTCCGGTAATCAGCCACTGTTAGCATGGCAACCATTCTTCCTCGTTGCCTGGCAACAAGTAAACGGAAACCAGCACGCCCAACCTGAATAGCCACACCCGTTTGTTCAAAAACAACTAAAGATGAGTTGGGACTACACCTTACCGTACTTCCTCACTAATACCAAGATCAGCGGCTACGACCGCAATCGCAAAAACAGCTTGGAAATAACATGGACCGTTGAAACAACATGACAAAGTGCACCCACTTAGAAGAGAGTATTCGGCAGAATACCTGTTGGACGGTATTGTATAGCCCTTTGAGCATTGCATCCAAAACCCACTGGATCATGGAAGTGAGCGCAAGGTGGGTCACCTTTCAAGAATCCGTTGAAATTCTACCCTTGGGAAAATTTCTACTGCCTTCCACATGATTTCTGGTGAATGCGCGTGTCGGGAATACCAGTCTAACAACTATAGTAAGCAAATCCAGGCAGACCAACAAAACTACGAGCTGTCTACGGAAACATAATGACGAATATATTTCCAGATGGTTCCGGACTGGCAACCTCGAAAGTAGATCTAAAAACTCAATGCATTTTAAATAATACTTTTCGAGCTACGTCACCTCATCAAATATAAGGGATGAGATGCCACTCGGAGCGAATTCAGTGTAATCCATACCCTACTTTGGGTAAAACTTCACCCATAGGAACGCTATGTAGATAATATGGACTACACGTGAGGGCAAATGTTATACCGGAACTTAAAACGGTTGTCCACAGTAACACCATCGTCAAACCCAATTAGAATATTTGACTGAAAATAAGAAACTTCCAATACGGATCAGATAGTACCAACTCAAGTCCAAAGGAATAAGGACTGCTCCAAACTGCTTAAATAAGGTGACTTTGTCTAAAGTTGTAGTCGTATGAGACCATCGGGAATTTCGTTCACTTAAGACTGTCCTCACAGAAGTATGGACGGAAGGTAAGAGTTGCAAATTTCATTGCACAGAATATTTCACAGACAATGATTCCCACATCAAAACCCAATGTTTGGAGAATTTTTTAACCGAACAGCACATGGTGATTCAGAATAAAGTCATATTTGAAATATCAAGGATGACCAGCTTAAGTATTTTACCGCTTGCGAATTTACTCAGCTGCTCATGTTGGGGCACCTTTCAGTATCGAACAGAAGTCAGAATCTCTTAGCAACTAGGATCTGAAGCAGAAAAAAAATGATTCTGGTGAAAAAAGATAACTTTCCAGTTTCCGAATGGTTCACAACCAACGGAACTGAGTGAGTTAGCCAAAACTTCGGATACTTGAGCCTTTTGGATGTGAACAGAACACATCTACTAGTCAAAACAAAGACCTGCGACTAACCAGGTAGGGCAAATGGGACCAGCAAAACCAAAACTTGCGCGCGTGTTAGCAAATGGTTGGTCATCTGAGTTACGGAGTTTAACGAAACGCATGAAATCAACCACGGGTCTGATGTGACACACGACAGCACCCACATTCATCTAAGGTGGACTGTTTTGGGCAGTGCCATCAAAAGCCTAGGGTCTAGCAGACACCGTAGGATAGTATCGGGTGGCAAGTCAGCCGGTGTGAACAAATTGTGACAGACACAGTACCGTAGAGCACAAGCACAAAACAACGAAGAATGCAGTGAAATACAATGGATGGGTGGAAAAGCACGCAATGTTGTGTACAAACAGGCGAACAATAGCGTCCGGTGACCCGAATCTAGGGTCAACGACAGTCACAAACAAACAAGCCAACGAGTGCTCCTCAAGGGCGAAGCGCCGCGTGGTTAACGAAAGTTGCCCACACTATTAATAATGCCAAGAATAATAAACTAGGCTGCGGTGAGAGGCGTTGACCCAAATAGCTAGTTAACTTTGTTTTCGTTGGAATCACACACGAAAACTTGGAACGTTTACAGAAATCGGCATGCCAATGGGTGGGTTTAGTTTCCTTACTCTGCCTTGAGTCCAAACTCATAAATGAATGTTGGTTGTGAAGTAAATATGTTGTCGGCTTCGGATGTTACTATAAAACGATGCCCGAACAAAGCTATTTGGCGTTAACTTGAGAATTCCCACAACTAAATACTAACTATGAAGCCGTATTAACACAGAAATCCACTACTGAGTGGTATATATCACTAACGTTGTACTTGTATGTATTAGTTACCTAAAACTGTTACTGAGACAGAATGCTTACAGGAGCGTAAAACGATATACTGCGGAAAATCTACCTCATCCCATTAGAAGTGCTTCCGAGAAAAACCCTGTTCGCCTAGAGCGGAAAGTATTTTTGTGCACACGACAGAATACAGCGAAAACTGAGTCTTCCAATAGTAAGGCCGTGAAAGAGTGGACAAGTAGCCAAGACAATTCTCCGAAAACCGGTGAACTGGACGGCAAATCGCCCCGTCGAACCCGCTCAAAGGTACTGTTTGGCGTGTTACATCCAATCGATACAGAAATCATTCACCAGGGGTTTCATTCTGCAAACACATCTAATGGGAATTCTATTGTTTGCCTTGTGAATAGTTCAACAGATTCTGGACCGTATGCTTCGGACACTTCAAGTCACGCACACCCCATGACAAAATTATGGGACTAAAATCACTGTAAAACTTAGTACCACTGAATAGAACTGGATGACTCGGGGTTAGAAACCAATTCCAGATTCTATAAAAATCTCACTGAATCAACTGAAGTAAAATCACCAAAATGTGAAAGTCAGAGCGAGGTTCTTCCCATTTTCAAAACTTCATAAATCACTGCTAAATTTGCTGAAAGTTTAATTCTCATATCTCCGTTTCGACGGGGGTTCGAACTCCTCATTCGCCTGTGAGGTCCTAATCGGGTGGAGATCAGGATTACAGAGTGGCCAGTCCAGCCAGCCGGCTCCTGATGGTGTGATAGGCGCAAAATATTGCGCCATCCTGTGCAAATTTTCCAAAATTCTGTCTAGAGATCACAACCAGAGGCTACATTAAGTGCACCAACGTCTGAAAGTGTACATTATAATCCCACTATTGCTATATAACACTACTTTTGTATAGCATGTTCAGTCGAAGATTACCATAAATTAGAGATTCAGCTGACAGTTGTTTGTCTCCAGTTAATGCCAAATCACTTAGATGTAGATTCAAATAAATAAAGGGGATTGATGTAAACTCGGGGGCTACACCTTCCCAATGAGTCTCTAAAAGGGTCAAACCGGTAGCGGGCTGCCGAATAGTTGGTGTTGCATCAGAGGTAACGCAGTGGTTCACGCTTCTTGCATCACGACTTAGTGTTTGTTCTATCTGGTTAAAATTCTGGATTGACGAAATTGCATTCCGAGATGGCCGAAGTGGTTAGAGCGCTGGGCTGAGCCAGGCCGTGTACCAAGTTGGAAACGTTTGTGGCCCAAAAATCAAGTTTGGCAGTGTCTCAAAGCAAAGCCACAAAAGCGTTAGCCGAAATGTGCTTCACATAGTCGGGAAAAGTGCAATGAAGCCACCTAGAAAGGTGTGAAGGTGTGATGACCCAAAAATCCCAGAATTTCCACCCGATCGTGACCCAGTGGGCTGAGCCAGGCCGTGTACCAAGTTGGAAACGTTTGTGGCCCAAAAATCAAGTTTGGCAGTGTCTCAAAGCAAAGCCACAAAAGCGTTAGCCGAAATGTGCTTCACATAGTCGGGAAAAGTGCAATGAAGCCACCTAGAAAGGTGTGAAGGTGTGATGACCCAAAAATCCCATGGAAACATCAAAACCGGGAGATTCAGCTGGGTTACAGGTGAGTCTCACGCAAAACCAAATTAGTTTGCAAATGAGTGTATTTCCGATAGAATCTACTTCGACAGGAAGACACCCTTACGGCTCCCTGTTTTATACTTTTAAGTGGCCCTACGTCAGATGTGGATTCTGAGACGGACCCTTCACTGAATACGTCACTTTGTGACCAACAATAATTTAATTCTTCCCAATGAAATTGAATTTATGGTGAAACAGATAGGAAGCCTCATAAATTTACGGCCAGTGGGATTGTGATTTTACATGCTTATTAAGGATCCCTCAAGTTGATAAACTAATTCCAAAGGGCATTTCGGAAGCGCTGGTGATCCACCGAGTTTGCAATAAAGCCAGTTACAGGCACCGTCAGTTAGCTGCATCTATAGACTGTTACTCAGACTGTCATTCAGGAGAAAACTCAGGTCCACAACTTACTGCAACATCAAAATATGTTTACCTTGGTGCCGCAGTCTTATGAGCTCGCAGACACACAAAGAACGATCCCGATGGGCATCTGAGGGCGATCACAGTTTCGAAATATTGAGTGGAAAACAGTAAACGTGAGCGCAAGGTTTTTAACCGACTTACAGAGACCTATGAATACTTTGTCCATCACTTGAGACCACGATTTAACGATTCACTGGAAACTGAATTATGTGGTAATCTGGAATGAGAAATACTGTCGGAGCCGAACGTCCTTGGGACGGTTATTACGTGACTAGGAAACGTAAAATAAGAATATAGCGGAGTAAAGTTAATCAAATTTAGGAAGACACTGACCGGCAGATGACGAGGTGCAAGTCCGTATGATTGTTTATGCTCAAAAGCAGGGGTTATATCTTATAAGCAGTACAACACGTCTCGGTTACTGAAGTTGAAACAGAAGATCCAGATGAAAGGTCACATCCGGAACGCGACAAATACAGCTCTCAAGAGGGGACTAGCTGGTTTGACTAGAAACCGCAACATATATGCAGCACTGTGGCTGCTTGTTAATGGATGTCTACGTAACACTAACAGCTGACCCTGACTTAAATCACTGAATTTTTTTTCGACGGAAGGTCGGCTTCCTTGAACCTATCCACGGCGTCCAATAGAAGGTTTCGGGAGGACCTGATACACACTTTCCACGTTTTTACAAATCCAAGACACCTAGAACACACACTATCAACCCCACCTTCCAAACCAACGTAACTGCCTTAAAGGACTCCCAAACTAGTTTACCCTCCAAATTAGTCACAACTGGAAGTTAATTACGATAAAAGTCGCTCGTTCTCCATTTCTTGGTGACAAACAGGAACAACCGAAAAAGCATGGTGGGGATTGAGCCACGGAACTTCCGGTCAGTAGTTCCGGGCATCAACCCCCGAGGTATACCGACGGAGGTTATTACTTCTGAGGGCTGCGCCTCACAGCCATCCACTTCATTCCTCAGCTCACTCCAATCGAGCCAAAATCTGCTACACCCTGCGTGACTAGGAAAGTGAAGCTTACTGGTTTTACCGTCAATCAATAAACCACTCACCTGCAAGGGGGACCAAGCACTAAGCTGTACCTGGCCACTCCGATTACTGAGAGCGTTCCAGGAGCCTAGGTGCAGGGCACTTCGGTGCAACACATCCAGGTAGTCACAAGGTATGTAGTAGTACCAATGAAGCAAAAAGGCTGCAGCTGCAGTTATGATGCAATGTTGTACGGCCCATGCGCAATCGTAGAACAGATTTGAGGGCTGATTTGGAGATGTTTAAATAGGATAAAGTATAGTGCAACGGGTACAGAAAAAAACCCAAAACCGAACAGAAAGGGGGTAAACATGCCAAAAATAGAGGCAGTTAAGGGAACCGATTGTTTTTTCATCGCACGCAAGCCATGAATTCTAAACACGGGATCCGTCTACTGGATAGTTCGTTCGATTTGAAACGTCCATAAGCATCGTAGTGTTAAGCTTGCCAGACTACTCTTCATTCAGAGTTCACCATTGATTCAGTTACTTAGGCATCCGATCTGGTTAACGCAGTGTGAACTGCTGTCGGTTTTCCAGTAACGCTCGTCCTAGCTGGATCTGGATGCCGATTAGGCTCCTTAACAAAAGCTCCCATCAGCTACTGTCATCTAGGTCACGAAGAACAGGTATAATCGATCATGAACTACAGGAATCAAAGAGTACAGAAAGACGCACTGGAAATATAAAAAAAGAAAAAAACGAAAATGTGAGAACCCGATGAAATAAGGTGTCACAATGTGCTGCTTCTACTTGCTTCCTCACCTAAAATCGGTGTTGCAAGCGTGATGTGTCCTGGTAAACGGTACCTTGTATGTACCTCGAGATAAACCGCTGGTAAATTCAAGACAAGCCTGTTAGTGTCGTAAAATAAACCAGCAGTAGCGCGTATGACATCAATCAATAACGTGCGAGACAATCCACAAACCCGGGTTAAGAATTAAGGGCACTGTTGAAGTAACTCAACTGCTAAACCCACCGATGTCCCACCAGGTGTACCGGTTGGACGGACCGGCGGACCTCATGCTGCTCTGTAAACAGAACCGTTTTGATTTTGAAGGATAGACTGGATTGAAAAAAGGGTTTTATTAGTCGCCTGTTAATGCACGCTATCATCATCTAGTCATTGTTACAACCTGGAAAGCCTGAGGTTCTCGGGTAAAAGCAAGTGGCCCATGTAGAAATAGAAGATACCATTACACTACTATGAGTAGTACAAATTCAACACAACTATCTGCGTCCTCACCACAAACCGATTGACTGCAAATTCAGACTAAAGTGTCCATGACCAGAAAAACACAACACAATGCACAACTCGTTTCATTTAGTGACGCGATTTCCAATAGGCTAAGCTGCTAACGGGTGAACAGCTATTTCATCATCGGGCTATGAGGAATACGTCTGAAATAAACTTTTATGAGGGTATGACGGTCGAAGTCGCGCGGAGTTAGTGTCTGGACAGGCTGTGCTGGAGCGCATATTGACAGCATTACAATGCCAAAATAACCGTTAACCAAAGCAAGGTCAGCCCAACTACTCGAAATGCCAAACTTGTGACAACACAGATCAGACTTTCCTGTCCGCGCCAAATTATGATGAACAATATGAAAAGGTGTAGTGCGCATAAAATAAATATTATAGTTGGGCAATACTATTTGGGGTCCTACCTGTACGAATAACAATGGCAAAATGCAGGTGTAATAGGTCGTATAAAATGTCCCAATGACGACGGTTAATAGACGAGCATTAAAGTCCGCTCTGTATGTCTGAACCTCTTCACGAATCGGCTCAGCCGATGCACCGAAGCACTGATGCCGAAGCAGGACCAGGGACTTGTTTTGTGGATCGACACTGTAATACGCCGTTGGAGAGGAATAATTTGGGGGAAATTCAGCGACCGCATGTGTGGAAATCGTCAGATACCGGACTGGAAATAGAGTACTGGTGGTCTTTAAACCAGGCCAGTCAGTAGTTAACTGATAGACCAGCGATGCAAGATGCTTAATCTGAAAACCCAGGTAGAGTTCAGTGAGGTGAAAATGCAAACAAACTTTGACCCATGGGGTTGTAGGAGCGTTCGTTGCTGGCACCTTCTTCGCACGTCGACCAGGGATTGGAGACAATCGAGACCAGAAGGCGTACAGGGTATTGAGTATGCGAGTGTGATGAAACGCGAACAGAGCGATCAGCGGGCTACATAAGTAAGAGAGTGTCGGTTACTCCAAACAGCCCGAAACGAGTAAAACGCGATTTCCACATAAAACCACACCTTGTCGGAAGTAAAGCCCGTTTAAAGGAAACGATCTGGATAAATTCTGACTGGCAGAGAACTTCGCTCAAAATTGGTGATTGTTCCAAACACCATCCAGGGTACACAATGGAAACGACATGAAACCATAAGTGTACAAAGACAATTAATATACAAAATGGCATGTGCTTCCATTTTTCAAGGAAAGAGCATAACAGTCCTATCAAGTTGATAAAAGTCCTAACTACAGGGTATATGTGATAGGTTCCAGATGTGCTAGCCATACCTAGAAAGCAGGGTGGAGCATCATTGCTAACTAGGGGAACCAGAATCCTACGAATTATGATCTTACAGCGCGCGATGATAAGATGTCTATGAAAAACCCATTAGTTTACTATGCCGTCCCACGCACGATACTGCGCAGCATTCGACTGGGTTTGAGGGTAACCATTCCTCAGAACTAGTGAACCTGACACACAAATCGACTGCGACGGTAGATTTCACCAGAATTGACTGGTTAAACCACTTTTCACGCCCCCACTCAAGGCAACAATTGGTCAGAGAATTAACTTTGTAAGGCATAACTGCCTCCTTGAACGAAAATAATGCGCATATTGTCAACGTTGTTCGGTCAGCGATTTTAGGCTTATGTTATATCCTCCTACAAGCTCTTTGCACAAAACCACTCTGTCCACATATGCCAGGATTCTTACGGTCAGTGTCTCGCCTAGATACATTCCATTACCATTTAAAATATTCGGTCACCCTGCCTCACAAATACACCGCAGCAAAACCCACTCACCTACGATAAGCATATGACTTACGGACAGTCGTACACAACAGAACCTAGATACTTAAAATCCCCACTGCAGTCAAGAGCGATTTGGAACCAGATGCTATAGATAATAAAAAACGTTCAGGCATAACACCCTTTCCGTGCCTACTTACCATGCCACCAGAAGGAGGCACGGGGGCGGGGGTACCGCCAGGTTGACCAAGCCTAGACAGAAGCAGCCGATGTGCAGAGGTTGGGTTTGAACCACGAACCATACAGTCAGTAAGTTTCCGCCATAACCAATGAGCTATCTCGAGCTCTACGGATGGTTATCAGCAAATTGTTGACATGCTATGGAACCCGCTAATAACCCGCAGCAGTATCCTGGAAGTGATGGTCCAGCTTGAGCGTCACAATGACCGATAATATTAGCTAGAACTTTATTCCTCCGGAACACATCAGGAATGCGGGGCAGACGTACAGGGAGCAGTGGCGTGAGTAGTGGTTGTGATCGAAATACCGGTCAAATTCCTTACTTCATCAAAAAATCAAATCGATGGATTATTGGTAATGGGACCAACAGCACCAAACGTCCAGGTGACCAAATCAACAGCACGATCGAGTGGTATAGGTAGGTAGGATAACCAGCAACATCATCATTGTTATCAATCGTAAGAACCGCGTACTTGTCGTACAGTGGTTGTACCTGCCACAATTTCGTTCATCGATGATTTGGGGAGGTAGGGTAGGTAGTTGCGCATTGGAGGAGGGAGCTGATAGATTGGTGTGTAAATACAGGTCTGTCAGTGAACTTTTAAGAGGGGGCTTGGAAGGAGATCCATTCATTGAACACAGTAGCTTGGATGCACGAACGCCATTGAGGGCGCAACTGGGCCATATCTGACCATGTCTCTAAGCATTGATGTGGATCGTCTCGGGGTCCCCATCCAGGGTGACGGCAATAGCCAGAACAGCTGAGTTTGCTGGTAATGACTTCCATGCTTCGCCGCCAAGTCATTGTTTGACTTCCCCTGACTCATTTTCGCCACTCACGTGGTTGTGCGAAAACAACCCTCGAGGAATTCGGTCGACTGGCACATGAGACACGTGGCCAAACCACCACAACCTATGCAGTGTGATCAGTTCATCTATCGTGGATGTTTCAGCATTACTGATCCGGTGTTTTCACCAGACTAAGGCAATGCTCCGAAGACATCGATGGTCAAACATTGAAAGGCTTTTGATGTCCTCGATGCGCAGCGGCCAGGTTCCTGACCCGTATGACAGTACGGATCGCACCGCAGTAGTGTAAACTCGACTCTCGCTGGACAAGTTGATGTCACGCCTACGTCACAGGTGATGCAGGTTCACAAAAGCTGCTCTGGCCTTCCTACTCAGGATAATCAAGAGGAAAATATCATCCTTAGTGAGACCATCGGGGCTGGTACAGCTGCCTATGTAAGCAAATCTGTCCACTACCTAAGTCGGCTCGTCCGCAAGAATGAGGCTACAGTTCGAGTCCATCCAGTCTTGCAGCGGCACTTTACACTTTGCAGGTGTGAAGCGCATGCCAAATCGAGAGGCGTAAGTATGTAGATTATTTAATATTGTTTGCATTACCACAGCGTTAGATCCAAGAAGAGCTATGTCGTCTGCGTACTCTACATCTGTAATCGAACACCCCGGGAGTACTTCGACCCCACAATCATTAGTGGTTGGAAGTGAGATTTCAATAATCGTATCTGTTGAGGTTCCCGATACGGAGCATTGAATGACGCGTAGGATCGACAGTCCCGAATATCAAAAAGGAAGATATGGGTTCGAAACTCAACAGTACTCAATTATGTTCGTGGGAGTGGATTGACAACCCGATCTATTTGACACCGCGTCACAATTGAAGTCTTATCATGGACCCGTTGCGGCATGATCCCTTCCTGGCTCCTGGCTTTTTCTACGATATGGTCCAAAGACTTCAGTTGTGCCGGCCGATTTATGGGGGGAAATTGCTGAACTGGACGAGAAGGCTCGAGACTTGCATCGGAAACGGCAATTCATAAGATAGAGATGTTAGGCTACAGTTGTTCCCATTACCTCAGAAGAGGATGACAACCAGTCAGACTACCATTACACGGGGTGCGTTCCCATAACTAAGGATGAAGAAAGGCACCTCACAAGAGGATAACCAGCGGTCAGTCTGCGGTTCTTTGGGGTGCACTCCAATAATAATGGGCAGCGAAGCGTCACCAAAAGGCAGCGGCGCTCATTCGCACTGCGGGTTTTGGGGGTACGCTCCACAAACTACCTGTGAGTAGGCCTTCCACCCACCATGAGTGCAGGGTTCTACGCCCTCCGCATATCCGTCACATAGTGCCTCAGATTTTTTAAGTTTATAGCCTAGAAAAGGTGTCTCGAAACCTGGCTTGGTGGCTTTCCAATGTGTGTGCTATACGACGTGACTTAGTTCGGACAGTCGATTGGGGACTACATCATGCCGAACTTGAGCTTTGTCCAACAATCCAGTGTTTTCTCAATTTAAGGCAAAAGCCGTCCCGTCCAACATTGTTTATTAGCATGTATGGATGTGCACAGCTGACCTACTTGCCAATGCGCGTTCCTGTCATGCTTTCTGAGCCTATCTTGATCTGTTTTCTTGAGTTCCGTGTGATCGCACCGCGAATCAAAATCAGATCATGGTTGTACGGCAGCGAAGCATCGGTGTTGAACACTGATGTCATGCTGCTGCTGCTGATGATAATGATGATGTGCATCGCTTCTGGATCACCGGACACACTGAGGGGAAAAGGTAAATGATCTGAGTTCGTTGTTGGCGTTTTGAGATACATAACCACGATTCTGCCTTGTATGCGTGTTTTGGGGACACAGCGTACATCAATTTTAAGGGAGCATAAGGTTCCAGCGAGCATTGCCTTTTGCCAATTCGACACGGAATACGGACGTTGGAAGCTCCTATGTATAAAGGATTTTGTGAGTTTAGTGAGATGTTATTTTGTTTATTACTAATACGCAGCGGAGTGCATAAGACCCATCGGTCAGGTAACTAACACTCAAATAACCCAGCAACGTTTGCTTGTGTGATGGGAAGGGGTTGGGGAGGGAAAATTTCGGAATAGGAGGTTGGGATTTATTAGAAAAAACCTCTTGGTATGTCTAAGAAAGCTTACTGACAGTAGCGAATGAAATTTGATGTTTGTACTGCATCACCATTTCACACGTAATCCCATCTATAGAAAGGTTGGTTCGAGTGTAAAATCCCAGTTCATATGTTCACTGTCCAATACACAAACCTTGCACCGAAATGCAGTGTTTCTAGCTACTACCGTATCGTAAGGGAATGCGAGCTTCCCGTAGCAAGCGGTAGCCCAATTTATGCACTGATTAGGAATTGATCTATTTGTATGTCAAAAAATGAGAGCTACACGATGAGGACGATAGATTTGTTGCAAGACCGCCATTGCTTGCGTCCCAGCCGTACGTCAGGATCACTAACCATTGGTTTGTCCCGTACTGCGGTTCCCAACCGGAAAGACCGCAGTTACCGACGCGATTGAGTCTTTGTGCTTCGTTGCATTTCCATAATAATTATATTAGCTAGTGTGAATCGTTAACGGGATAGCACCGCCGTAGATATGAGCGTGTCTGGCTAACCTCCGCCATCTTTCCCATTACCTAGCAATTTAAAAATGTAACCCACTGATTTAGGCTTTGTTTTTCACTGATATCGAATTCACAGCCTCCTAAAACCCAACAATCTCTCCATAACGACCAAGTCGCCCATTCCGTACGTCCAGTCTCTAGGTAAAATTTTGCTTCAGGCTGTTTTATCACTAATCTGACTAGATGCCTAATCGACACAACGACATCGACAGAAAGACGATGTTGTTCGACACTGGCATGCGTGCAATGCTGAATGTATGCACCACTATGCGCATGGATCTTAAACGGATAGGTCACCTGGAAACATGATAATAATGAATTATGTGAACCCGATACTACGAGTGCTAAAACTGTTGGAAATGCAAGTTAAAGTCGTGAGAAACGGGTAAGCCAACAAACAGAGGACTTACAAATATAGAAGCAGCACACCACAGAGAGTAGCATACCCAAAAGATATTCCAGAAAAGTTTATGTTTGTGACGGTCCACAAAGTAAAATATAGCCAGGAACTGAGTAGGGGCAGGCCAAGTAGTGACCGAATGATGGGATATGTGGACAGGATAGTAGAAAATAGCTAAATAGGGATAAGAACACATGATCAATTGCACAGTGACAGATGAGTACAGATTGAGAGAGTTGATGCAGTTACACGTATGGCCTAAAAGTAGTTCCTTCACTCTAAATCCTCTGTACAGTGCACTGGTGAGTTCACAAAGTGACTAGAAAATCTGTTTCAATTCGAATGGAGATAAGTAACACTAGAGAGATAGCAGAAAGTCATAACGGCCTGCAATTTTCTCAGTAGCACTTTGCAAGTGAAATCGCACCAAATGACACCTGGTATCACTTGAGAGAGCATACAATTCAGAGTTTAAGCTTCCGAAGACGGATATTCTCACATCGTTCAATAACGCCGACTTTAAACATACCCCAGCCTAGGTGGCTTGAACGCTTAACTCTTATAACTCTTACAACAACAAGTGGGCGTGGAACAACAGATAATCGTTCAGCCGTAAGTTCCTTTCAGTGCATGCCATGTCGTCTGAAGAAATCACGAGGGTTAAAATACTACTAGGCCGATCGAAGCCCAGATAACTGCAGTCGCCTAAGTAACACCCTGTAGGGGTTGGATTTTGGACTCCATGTTCGTTGTTGTGTGGATCCCAGGTAATCCACCAGATTACGTCTTACAACTACAGTCTATAACCAGCATAAACAACCAGTTTCACCTATGATCTTGAGCTCACTCCGCTTACAAACGAAATGAATGATTCAGTTTGTGAACTAGAGTAACCAATTATTCGTTCAACATGAGGAATAACAGTTCCAACGGAGCTGTCTTCCCACCGAAAAGACCACAACCAACTCGTGCTCTTTAGCAAACCAAGACAAGCGATAGAAAGGTTGCGAATGTATACGCTGTTGGTCATCGCCAAGTATGCAGCACACTGCAGAACAGGGAACACATCACAGAGTAATTTGGTAGGGACTTTATGCCCAGATGAAGACGGCTCGTATGAGAAAACGTACGCAACTTTGCATGACTCATCAAGTCTCTTGGAACGGTCCTGTTTGTTGGTAATAACCGCGTGTAACTCAGTGACGGCTGGATTGTGAAGTTCTCATACTTATGTTATATAATGATATCTTGAGGCACAGCAACGCCCCCGAGTAAGAAATAACTTACATGTTACCAAATGGTGCTTCTTATATGGTGGAGCACGGTAGTTAAATGCCACAGGAAAAATACAAAACTGTCACATAAGTGAAAACACGGGACTGTCCAGCTTGTCGCCTTGTGGAAGTCTAGGGTAGAGAAAAATGGTCCATCCGTGACGTTCAACTCGAACTACGAGGAACTCTGAATGGAGAGTGGTCTCCTGGCCGAAGGATATATGAATCGATCTGAATTCCAACTGCTTCTGTCTGGGCTCAGGCAACCCCGTGGTGTTTTGACCACTGTGTGCCTTGGTGCCTTCGATTCTGTCGAAGGATTAGTCATTCCAACTACACCTACACAACAGGGGATTTCCCCGGCCTTATACTTCCGGTTATGTAAATGAACCTTCTAAAAGCTCAGTTACTAGAAGTGGTGTTCGGCAAGAATGTTCACTTTCTTCATTCTTGTTCAACTTCATCATCGGTGAAATGATGAGATGAACTCTGGAAGTCTTTAAAACTCCGATGTTCAAATCACTGCAGATGCCAGCTTTGGTGACTACAGTAGTTCCTGTCCCTTACAGAATAAAGAAGACTGATGGGTGGACAAAGTGTGATTTAGCTATGAGAGAGATCACGAAGAGTTTGAGTGTTGTTGGTGCAGTCCACCTTCCACTACAGGGTCCCCCTGACCCTCCTGCATTTGAATGGAGACACTGCACGAAACCGCAGCTAATCGATGTCGGTGGCATTCATGTCGTCAACTTCTTACCACATAGCCTGACTGAGAATCTGGGAGTGTAAGCATACTAAAATGCTTGTATAGCACTCGCATATCATTCCTTCATCCACTCCCCTTTTTGACTAAAGGGCTTCAGACATAGTTGAATAAACCTTATGGTGTTATGGAAGTGAATCATCAGTGTCAACATCGATGTCACTATCTTTGATGACGATGGTGATTATGACGACACACAGTGCATACCGTAGAATGCCACAGATTATTCTAAACAAACGAAATCGGGTGATTATCAAGAGGACGATCGAAGCCAGAATAACGTACAAGGAAAATTATGAACGGACGACAAACTAAAAGTTCCAGTAACAACCTACCTGAAGCAAAAAGCAGTAAAGATGAGGTGTGATGAGCATTGTGAATACATGTAGAAACAGAAAGCAGTCGATGGACCGTAAATCCTACAATCAATTTTCAAAGCCGATATGAATTTACGATGGCGAAATCTGACGTAACGTTAGGAATCCACCAAACCGTCTTGTAGATATTTAAATACTGGACGACTGTTGCCCAGAAGCTAAGAAGGAGGATGAACACGCAAAACCACCCCAGTGACATATTGGGGAACGCTGGGAATATAACGTGATTGACCGTTGGACAAGGTAGATTGAGGGAAGAAGCACTAAGCTCCAACGATCTAAACGGTAGATATTGGAAATAGGAACCCACTTGGAAGGTGTGCTTTGGAAGGGGGTAGTAAAAGGGCGTCCGGTTGCGCGGCGACCCATTGGCATTTCGATAAGTCTGGATAAGATGTTACAGTATGACTGAAAACTGGAAAGAAACTGCGTTGTTAGGACAGACATAGGTGGCGGAAAATCGATAAATCAATCAGCAGAACGTAACTGAACCAGTCAACAATGACTACTAATAGTATGTGAGCGTGAACTACCGGCAGTCAGTTAAAACACGTACCCGAATGATTTGGTGTAGCGTATATTCATTCCTCAAGTTCCAGATTACAAGCGGGGATATCGACGGCGAGATAGTTCAAGAGTTCAGCGATTTTGTACTTGAAGCTATATCAGTTCAACAGTGGGGAAGTATAAATTGGTAGGGATAACTTCAGGAAATTTCACCAACTTACATTAACCAAGCATCATTTTTCTTACTCACCGTCCTGAACCCTTAACCTATTCCGCATATTCACATGGATTTCCGGCTGTTATTCGGCATCCCGCTACTGGTTCACACATCACCGGCATCGGAGAAACCATCGCAGCTCTGAACATGGTGTTCATATTCAGCTGATCAAGTCACCCAAGATCGCCGTACTCCGTTTAACCTTACGGGATCTTAGGTGCGCTTATGAAATCTGTGAATCTCTGAATGCTAACATCTGTCATCAACCTGAAGCCTTGAAACACGAATCAGGTAGAAAATTACCCTGCAGTCACTAGAGCCCAGCACTAATCGTACCTATATAGACTGCTTACAAAAATCCATCACGTGATCCTGATACCTCTCAAGGCTTTGAAACTGTAGGACAATAATAAGCCCTTCTTCGCTGTTACCGGGTACACACCGATGAATCGCACCAATCAATCCCCAAAGAGGGACTAACAGTCAAAGTTGTTACAGGCGGTCGAGAGCTCGTGTCATTCTCGAGTCTGCTACGGTCTGAGAAGTTTTCACCACCGTGTCATCAGTGAGGCAAATCAATTCAGGGCAGCTAATTACCGTTTGCAAAAATCTATTCTGTTCCTACAGGTCATCGACACTACCTTACAGAGACTGAGTTGGGTTAAACTAGATTACTCAAAACCGATCAAAAGCTACAACCTTGTCGAGAAGGTCGAACCTCCGTGACGCGAAGATATAGCGGGCTTTACCGGCTTGAAGTCAGTTCCAGAAGGGCCAAAGTTGAGTGACCGACGAAACCCAGCGAGTTCCAGTGCTGCTGAAAAAGCGCCTTCTGTGCGCAGTCACATCAGGAGTGAGAGAGAGTAATGCCTTACTTCCTGCGCCCTCGGGTTGGGCCAATTTCCTGCAGTCAAGCAAGTCAGACTGTTGAGTCATCGGTTCCTGGGAGGCTCCCAAAAAACCCTACTGCCTGCTGCCTCGTGGTTTAGAATTTTGAGTCAGAGGCTGGGGGCATGACCTCTGAACTGAACACTATTCCCCCTACTACCTCGTGGGCCAGACCTGTGAGTCAAGGGTTCAAGGTGGGACACCTCAACTAACCCCCCAAACGTCGGGATGGGCAGCTGGGAAGTATCATTGACCCGCACAGTTCCTCGTCCACCTATGTCCTTACAAAAACCCTTCCCATCAAACAACCAAACGTTGCTGGGTCATTTGACTGTCAGTTATTCGACCGAGGGGCATTATGCACCCCGCTGAGTATTAATAAAAGGAAATAACCCCACTAAATCCATAAAACCCTCTCTAGATATGAGTTTTTAACGTCCGTGTTCTGTGTCAAATTAGCAAACAGGTAATGCTCGCTGAAACCTTATGCTCCCTCGAAATTGCAAAACACGCATACAAAGACGGAAGCGTCGTTATGCATCTCAAAACGCCAACGACAAACTCAGATCACTTAGATTTTCTCGTAAGTGTCCCTTCGTGTGTCCGGTAATCCAGAAGCGACAACTCGTGGAATATATAGCGTGGGAGTTGCACTCAACCCCAGAGCTAAAACCGTCTTTCTGGATTGGATCCAAGTGTACAGTCATCTTTGCGCCGTCCGATTATCCAGCCCAGTCAAGCTCAAAGCCACTCGGCATCAATCGACCTAAAGCTGCCACCTTGTCGTGGTGGTCGGGCTTGAGTGCTACAGCGATCCCGCGGGCTACACTGGCTGGAACTTGGTTCCACAAGGTACAACTATGCCAGGAAGGCCAAAGGGGAGCAGCCAGACCAAGAAAAGCGAGACCCCGCACTACGAGTAATCGTGGTACGAGGCGGTCTGTAGGCAAAGTCCTCTGCGACAGGAGTGTGAAGGCAGTAAGGTGTTCCCCCAGGCGACCAGCATGTCCATTTTCATGGAAGCAGCAATGCTGCCTTCCCCCGAGGAAGGACGGGCTAGAAAAGGTCGGCCCCAAAAACCGCACACTCCAATCACCCAACGGTTGACCGTGACTGCCGGCGCATTATCCAATACGGTCGAAATACTTTTAAAGCCAAAG